CCCCCTATTTTTATAGTTTAACCATAAATAAGTAATGTAACATTAAATCGTATATTCTGGATGCAATACACGGTAGTATCTGATGTGTGTCATATATAAATAGGGTGATCGGCGCTACTGGGTGTTATATGATGWCAAATTCAGAGCGCTAACTTTAGATTTTAGAGTACTTAATAGTTAAACTATGACCATAACCGGATATTTAGTGGGACTTGTGGTACTAACCTCCCAAATGTATTTGATGTCTTATGCAATATTTTTTTTTATGATTATTGATTATTGGATATTAATACATAATAGTTATTCAGAAGTTTTGAATAGTTCAGTATTAAAAATTTAAAAGTAAAAAATGATATAAACGACGTAATAAAAAAATGAATGTAATASAAAATTATATTAGTTTTTATAGATGATTAAAGATGTTTAGAAGGAGATCGTTTTTAATGTTGTATATTCAAATAATTAGCCTTCCCTTCTTTATAGATTTAYACCTAGGTAAACACCCTTAAAAGTAATAACTTTTATAACCTTACAATTGACATCTATGTAATTTTGGTACTAAATCCTGAATTATTAATTATTATGAACCTCGTGAACGAAAACGTTATCATCAAAATGCATTGTGTTCATGTCTTATCTGTCGTCCAGTGAAACCAACCTCAAATGTCGGCAGTGTTTGGCCGAAGTGGCGGATCTTGCACACGAAGTGACGGACTTTGACGGCTTCATTCGGTGCGAAACTCCAAACAATTTGCTCAATAAATTTCACGGCGTTTTACAGTGGAATAAAAAAGAGTGAGTATCTATATGTACTGAGTATGTACATTGYACTCTACATTTTGGAAACGCAATTGAAACACGCCAMTTATTAGAATTTTATAAATTGTAAATTTTAATGAAAGTTGTAACTTTTTTTAAGAGTATGATTTTTTGCTTAGAGCGTGCACAGGTATCTAGTTAATTATTTTTTACGTAATATTCTTATCGATATTCTATGCAAATATGATAATGTTACTGCCATATWTTTTGTTTTAGATTGATTTTAAACAATGATCATATCATCCTAAGAGGCTGTGTACTAAGAAACACGGAATGGTGTTACGGTATGGTGATTTTCGCCGGGAGGGACACGAAACTCATGCAAAATTCAGGAAAATCGAAATTCAAGCGAACCAATATCGATCGGCTGCTCAACTTTCTCATTATCGGGGTAAAAACAATACATGTACACATACWTAATAATATTACATGAACCCTGTACTAATGTATAATATAGGTACTTTGTTAATGGTTCCGYTCTATAATTAAATATTGTTTGTTTTCGTCGTTTTCCCGCAGATCGTATTGTTCCTTTTTTTACTCTGCCTGTCTTGTATGATCGGATCTGCCATYTGGGAATTCAAAACAGGTTGGTATTTCCAGACGTATTTACCTTGGGACTCACTGGTACCGCCCGACAGGATAGCCGGATCAATTACCATTGGGACGTTGGTGTTTTTTTCGTACGCCATCGTTCTCAACACATTAGTGCCAATTTCTTTGTATGTAAGGTGTGTATAATTTACTGTGAACATTTATTTTATTATCAATAAGGATTGTACATGCAGTATCATGGTTATAATGCTGTTCTGTTTTATTTGATAGCGTCGAAGTAGTGCGCTTCGTGCAGAGCTTTTTTATAAACTGGGATGAAAAAATGTATGATAAACAGTCTGGTACCGCAGCTAAAGCTAGGACTACGTCACTGAACGAAGAACTCGGGCAGATTCAGTATATATTTTCAGACAAGACTGGTACCATGACCAAGGTGAAGTTTGTTTAAAACGTAATATAAATTGTAGATTGTTAGACGTTATTTTAGTTCTCACTTTCTCAGGGCTCAGTAGGTAGTATGTCAGCCAAAATCCAGCAATAGATACCAGTGTATCTTCATACAATGACTTCAGCCTGTTTTTCTAATCTTTATGTCTATTTCTTCTTATGGTGGACTTTTTAAATTTGAAACATCTATTAAGTTTAAGGAGCTTAATGCATTTGTATAAATTTGAGCCCTCAATATTAAGCCTTTTCAAAAGGGGAACACATAGCAAAATCAGAAGAAACTGCTAAGTGATAGTCAATCCATTAAAAACGATTTGTTGCTCATGGATATATTTTTATAATAAGGTTATTGACTAAATAAAGAGCATAATTGGTTGCAATATCATTACATTGATAGGCAGATATTTTGGCYCTTTTTCGCGGTTAGGGTTTTGTTAGTTTCGTACTAATAAATATACAAAGCTGTATGTAACTGTCGTGTAACATCTTCTAAAAAACTTTTTTAGATTCTGAGCGGAGCGATGAATGTATTGATTTTACCATGATGTGTGT